CAGGGCCTGGGCATTGTCCCTGAGCTCTTTTGCTCAAGGCTGGCACTCTTTTTTTGGGGGAGAGGGTGACAGGTCAGTCATGGGGCTTGAACTCTGGGCCTGAGCCCTGTTCCTCAGCTCTTCAACTCAAGGTGAGCGCTCTACCACTTGAGCCACAGTGCCACTTCTGGTTTTCTTTTTTCTTTTTTCTTTTTTTTTGTCGGTCATGGGGCTTGAACTCTGGGCCTGGGCGCTGTCCCTCAGCTCTTCAGCTCAAGGTGAGCATTCTACCACTTGAGCCACAGCGCCACTTCCAGTTTTCTAGTGGTTTATTGGAGATAGGAGTCTCACGGTCTTTCCTGCCCAGGCTGGCTTTGAACCGCGATTCTCAGATCTCAGCCTCCTGAGTAGCTAGGATTACAGGCCTGAGCCACTGGCGCCTGGCAGCACTCTACCACTTTGAGCCACAGTTCCGCTTGTGGTTTTCTAGTGGTTAGTTAAAAATAGGAGTCTTATAGACTTTGTTGCTTGAGCTGGCTCTGAACTTTGATCCTCAGATCTCAGCCTCGTGAACAGTTAGGTTTATGGGCATGAGCCACCAGCACCCAGCCACAGTTTTAGTTTTTAGTCTAATGAATTTAACCATGGATTTTGTTCTTTTTCTTGAGTTCTTCTTGAAAAGCTCCATCAGTATAGTTTCATTTGTTTTGGCCTGTTATCGCAGACTTTCTTACCCTTTGGGGAAGTTGGGGCTTGCAACTTAAACCAGCTTTGATGTATTGCACCTTTCCTTTTCTGATATGTTGATTCTTTTCTGATACTAGGGGCTTGAACTCACTTCCAGCCCTTTTCAAGTTCATTGGAGCTAAGGTTTCCTCTTATTTGTTTGTCTTAAGCTGGTTTCAAACTATGATTCTCAGATCTCAACCTCCTGCAGGATTACAAGTGTGAGCCAGCAGCCCTAGCAGATTGCGCCTCTTGGCTGCCAGCTCCCACTTGCTAATAATAGCAGCAAGCAAAATTCATTGGGATCCAGGGCTCTTTGATCTTATTTTCTCTATTTCTTTTTAGCATAAAGGAATAAAAAAAGGAGGAGAAACAAAATAACATTGCATAAAGGAAAAAATGTAAAAATTGAATGGGCCTCCTTGTCTGTTGTTTTCTTTTAGCTGGAGGTAAAGTGCTGAGTCGAGGGAGCTCTGGGTTTGTGTAAAACCCCGTTTCTCCACCTTGTCACCGTGGAGCTGTTGGAAACTTGGTTGTGCAAGGGGTCATCCAAGGCATTTTGAGAGGACGCCAGACTCCTTGGCTTGGACCATTAGGAGCCAAGCACCCCCCCCTCCCCCTAGCTGTGATAATAAAAAGTGTCTCCAGACAGCCACATGTCCCCCAGGAGATGGGCTGCCCTCACTTGAGAGCTACTGCAGTAAGATACTGTTTCAAAGGCTTCATTATTTACCCATTTCATTGAAGCCCAAAGTAGTGGGATTGTGATTTTTTTTTAAGTTAGCAGGAATAGAAAGTGATTCAAAATGGTACCTTTTCTTGGGCTTTCTGGGGAAACTCATTCTGTCTTAATTCTATGTTTTCAGAAATATTGGACAGCTCACAGGCCTTTGTGTATAGATTCTTTCTGGACTACTATTTGACTAGGATGTCACTAAAGTGATTGATAGTCTTGAATCCGATCATGTCCTGTTCTGTTCTTTTCTCTTTTTCTTTTTGCTGGTCCTAGAGCTTGAATTCAAGGACTCAGTGCTGTTGCTGAGCTTCTTTTGCTCAAGGTTAGCTCTCTACCACTGGAGCCACAGCGTCACTTCCAGCTTTTCCTGAATAGTTTTTGTAGCTAAGAGTCTCATGGACTCTCCTTCCTGGACTGGCTTCAAACTGTAATCCTCAGATCTTAGCCTCCTGAGTAGCTAGTATTACAGGCATGAGCCTGGCTTTTTTCCCTCCTGGTCTTTTGTATCTCTTTCTTCTTTGGCTGATAGTTTAGTGATCTTGAGCATTCATGGGGAATATTGAATGATTAGGTACAAACAATTCAGTTCTTAGTTTGTGGTAATCCTTGTTTTAGACGTTTCTCATAACAGGAAAGAAATTATAAGAGTAAACTAAAAGTAAGCGTGTTTTTACCAGGTGCCAGTGGCTCACACCTATAATCCTAGCTACTCAGGAGGCTAAGATAGGAGGATTGAGATGTGAAGCCAGCCTGGGGAGGAAAGTCCATGACATTCTTACCTCTCATTAATCACCCCAAACCTGGAAATACAGCTGTGGCTCAAGTGGTAGAGTACTAGCCTTGAGGGGGTTAAAAAAAAAAGTTTGGGGACAGTGCCCAGGCTCTTAAGTTCAGGCTCCATGATGCAAGCCTTCAAAATTGTCTTCATTTCCCAGTAAACTTTAGTTTAAAAACCAGACTCTATCACTTGTCAGATAATACCCACTCTACATTCAGACTTGACTTTTAGTTAACATGGGGTGGGTGTTGGGGTCTCAGACATCTCAGGTGGGTGGAGACATGGCATATCAGAATTCCTTGGGGAGCTTTGGAAAGACTCACAGTACTAGCCATATACCAGACAAGTTAAATCTTATTTCCTAGGGGTATAAGTACCCCTCCTTCCCTTACTGCAGTGGGAATCAAGGTTGAGAAACCAGAATCTGTATTTATAAATAAAGTTTTATTGGGACACAAGTCAGGCCCATTTGTTTGCCAGCTGCCTAGAGATTCCATGACTTGCAACCCTAAAGTATTTACTGTTTTACTCCTTTTGGTAAAAAGCTTGCTAATCCCTGCTGTGGAGTCTTTTGTGTACACTTGTCAAATGTATTTCTTTTCTTTTTAAGATTTGTGTTGTCTTACTGTGAAAGAAAAAAAAATGTGGTATTTGTCCAAGCCTGCACCTCAAGTCCTGTGGGTTTCTTTGTGCATGGGAAAACTGAGAAGCATTTTCCATAGAGAGCTGACTTGTAGATACTGTCCATCCTAAGGGAGGAGAGACATGCCCAGAGCAGAAAGGCCCTCTGTGCTTGTGTCGGCCCCCTGCTAACCCAGCATTCACCATGTACACTGTATCACTGACTTTTCCCTTGAAAGATGCTGAAGTTTGTTGTTACCATGGTGGCACTTCCAAGAAGCCATCAGGGCTCAGAAAGAGAAATCTTAGGAGCTCTAAGAGAAATGCATAGGTAGAAAAATTCTAAAAACCCACAAAAACAAAACCAACAACCCCAAAACATATTCACAGAATGTATGCACTTTTCCTGTTCTGTTGGAGAGTTGATGGTTATAAACAGTTGTTAAAAGAGTCTTCTAGAAGGTCCTTCTTTGGTAGGAGGCTCCTAAATGTGAGAGAAAGGGTGTCATTGATTTCAGCTCCTGTCACCAGAGCAAGGTTTGGGGACTGGCAGATTCACGATTGGTGGAGAACATTCCAGATTTGCAAGCTTCACCTAACTTTACTATATATCCTTACTTCCACTTGCTCTATTTAAAAGACCCCCAAGTTATTTGTGCGCTGTTACAGGGAGCAATGAGAAGCCTTGGCTTAATTGATAACTGCCTGCTGCGTAGTCAACTACACCCATTGATTGTCCTCTCTCTTAATGATTTCAAGGCTGCCTGATGGGACCTCTGACCTGAGCTGTGTCGGGAGGGTGGCAGTCCGTTCTTTGCCTTCGGCGATTTTCCACATGCAGTTTGCTTGACCTCTTACTTAGGAAAGATTTAGAGGATGATTAGAAATGAAAACAGGGTGACTGGCCCACAAGAGATGCCACTGTATATATTTTGGAAAACACACTTGAAAGAGTAGAAGGAACTCGCCTAGGTAAACCTCACTTGAAAGGAAATTGTCACCTGTGAGGGATCGGCTTTGCTTTCCCAAGGGGCATGAATCCACCCCTCAGAGCACACAGTGGCTTAGGGAGAATCAAGCCCACGTTTTTGAGAGTCTCACAGAATTAGGGAAACCAGGAACCTCAGGTCTTTCTACCATGCAATGCCATTACATTTAAAAGGCACGTAGGCCAGAGTGTCATGGGAAATAATGCTCCTAGAGAGCATTAAGGAGGCCTCATACTTTATCTGCCAGATTCTGCTAAGTTAGCACTGTTTTCTTTACCAAGTAACATTCTAAACATTTGGTTAAATAAATATAATTTTAAAATTATTTCTTAGTTCTGATCATAAGTGGCTTTTTTTTTTTTTTGGCCAGTCCTGGGGCTTGAACTCTGGTTTGATAGGTTATTAGAGATAAGAGTCTCATGGATTTTCCTGCCCAGGCTGGTTTTGAACTGCGATCCTCAGATCTCAGCCTCCTGAGTAGATAAGATTATAGGTAAGAGCCACTGGCACCAGGCTAAATATATTCTTACAGGAACAGTATAGGGTCGCCAAGGTTAAGATGCCACCTTACGCATGAGGAAACCTTTAGAGGATCAATAGCATTCTTCAGCTAAAGAAGCTGGGTGACACATGACAGACTGTAGCTTCTAAGTACTGACTCTCTCCTCTCCACTTCCCTGCTCTCTTTAGGATTTGTCAACTCAGCATTGTACAGATTTTTACAGACACTCCAATAATTGTGAAATGCAACCTGGGTTTCACTGCTTTTGTGTCAGTCAGTGCTTCTGTCACTATGACAAATAAGAAAAAAAAAAGTGAAATAGAGTTATTTTGGCTCCCGGTTTCAGAGATTTCAGCCCTTGGTCAGCTGGCTCCCTTGTTTTTGGGGGGCCATGGATGATGCTGAACATTGTGATGGGGAGCTGGTTGGGGAACAGAGTAGCTAGCTCACTCATCATGAACAGGTAGGACAAACACGACAGACAGACAGACAGTGGGAGAAGGGAGAGACAGCAGTGGAAATCCCTAGTGATGTACATTGTTTTTTTTAGATCTACCCCATCTTCTAGCACTTCCCCGAATCATGCTACCAGCTGGAGACAGCACATGAGCCTGTGGGACACATTGCACATTTAAACCCTAACAGCAATCTTTCTTCCTCCTTCTGCAGATGAAAAACTCGGAGAACCGCCATGCAATGAGCTCCCAGTATCGGATGCATTCATATTACGGGCCTCCCTCCTACCTGGGCCAGAGCATGTCCCAGATCTTCACTTTTGATGATGGCCCTTCCTACTCGGAATCTAAAGCGAGTGGTAGGTGTCTGCTTGGGACAGGCTTTGGGTGGGGATGATTGCATCCAACACTAAGATTTGAGCCCTGTTCAAGGGCTTAGATGCAAGCTCAGTGTGTGTGAAAGCATTTAACTGTGGAATGGTTATGCTTTGCTTGATTTTTTTTTATTGTTTTATTGGACTGGGAATGTGGCTTAGTGGTAGAGTGCTTGCCTAGCATGCATGAAGCCCTGGGTTCGATTCCTCAGCACCACAAAAACAGGAAAGGCCAGAAGTGGCACTGTGGCTCAAGTGGTAGAGTGCTAGCCTTGAGCAAAATCTCAGGGACAGTGCCCAGGAGCTGAGTTCAAGCCTCAGGACTGGCTAAGTAAATAAGATTGTTTTATTATAAAAGTGATGTACAGAGGGATTACAGTTACATAACTCAGATAAAAGAGTACAATTCTTTTTGGACAATGTCACTCCTTCCCTCCAGTTTTTCCCTCATGTCCTCACCAGCCCCCCCTTTTTTTTAGGTAATCTCACTATGTAACTCAGGCTCGGCTTGAATTTGAGCTTATTTTGCCCCTGCCTCAAGTGTTGGAATTATTACAGGCATGCATCACCACATCTTGGTCTTCCTTGGTGATCCCCCCCCCCACTTTCCTACTTTATTAGGATTGTGGAGGGATTAAACAAAAAGGAAGAAAAACACTTGAACGTACATAAAATTCAATTCTCTGAAAAATGCACTATTAAGACTCTCAACAGTCCCTGGAAATTTGGTATTATTGACTTAGCTTTTTACCAGTGCCACTGGATGAACCGAAGTTAAAATTATTGGTAAATTTTCTTTTTCTAGAAACTTTGTTCTGGTTCTTGTACGGAAGGTTCTTTTTTTTTTTCTTGTGTACGTGCATGCGTGTGTGCTTGCACATGTGTGTGTGTGTGTGTGAGTGTTAGTCTTGGGGCTTGAATTCAGTGCCCTGGGTGCTGTCCCTGAGCTTTTTTGCTGTTTACCACATGAACCTCAGCTCCATTTCTGGCCTTTTGGTGATTAATTGGAGAGAAATGTCTCACAGACTTTCCTGCCTGGGCTGGTTTCAAACTGTGATCCTCAGCTCTCTGCCTTCTGAGTATGTAAGATTACAGGTGTGAGCCAGCTCATGGAAGTTTTACTTACCCAGTTCTATGGTGAAAACTGTATTAGAATGTAATGAATGATTCTTTCTAAAAAGATGAGCAGGAGTAAATGCATGCAGCTTCCTAGAAAATAGACAGAAAACTTGAAGGGAGACTTACTTCAAAATATCCTTTGTAGAAAGTAGAAAGGTAGGTTGTATAAACAATATAACATTTAAAGTAAGCGTCGTGCAGTTCTGCTGAGCAAACAGCCCCAAGTCCTCTTGATTTGGAAATCAGCCCACTAGACCTCTCCCTAGGCTGTTATGCTGGTTCACCGACATTCTCTAAAAAATGTTTTGCACCTAACTGCTAGAAACTCAAAATTTCTTTAATCCAATATGCAGAAATTAAAATGCCCACTGAAATCTTTCATGTTCCAAGCAATTTGTTTCCAATCAGCAACTGTAAAATTACTCATAATTGGAGATGGGAAGGTGGCTCAGTGGTAGAGTGCTTGCCTTGCATGCCTGAGGCCCTGGGTTCGATTCCTCAGCACCACATAAGCA